TGGCTGCGGATCCCAGGAGGCAGCAGGGTACTAGGAGGAAACTTCTTCAGAGTCTGGCATGAGCTCATGGGAGTCAGTTTCTGTGCTGTGCAGAAGGGTATAACCACTTCATCAGTTCTTCCTCTTGACTTCACTGTCCACTAATCTGCTTGTTATTAATCTTGCAGACTGGATGATATATGGACCATGCTGTTTCCCTACCTGCTTTGGGGTTGGTGTATTCAAACCCTCGGACTCAACATTTTTGTGATTTGAAATTTCTGAGTAATTATTGAGGGCTCCATTGTGCCTATGCAGGATAGTTTCGTATTACATTCACATGCGAATCAAGGACTTGCTGGGTTCCTTGAAAAAAACTGTCACCTTTTGGGGGATTGGACTAGATGATCCTTTGCGGTCCCTTCCAATCCCTAACATTCTGTGATTCTGTGAAATTCCAGTTGTTTCTGAAAATCAGCAATTAACAAGTGTGCGTTGTATATTTTAAGACAACAGAACTGTCTGTAGTTGTGTTACAAGTTCACTCTTAGCGACTATAGGTGAGCAGAACTTTGTACGTCTTCTGCTTGAAGAAATACATTGATAACATCTAGGACAACCAATTGTTTTGACCCTCCTGAGGCTAATTTTGAATGACGCTATGTGAACGTGACAGCTTTCTAGAGGACCAAGAAACAATGCTTTGCCGCCTTTGGGCACTGAGGTGGAACTGCTGGCACACTTTGCAGTCTCGTTTCTGGTTTTCCAGTGCACGTGAGGCTTTTGGTACCAACCACTAGGACACTAGGATACAGGAACTGTTTGTAATGAGGTCTCCAGAGATTTCTTGCACTCTGTGCACCCTTGAGCTATTCAGTAATGTCCTGTAGGCTTTCTGGTTTTTTGTTACTGATCTTTCTCGTTACCTATGAGTGCTTCACAGCTGGGAGCAGAGTTGAGAACTCTCTGGACAGCCCAGCGCAGTGCTAAGGAAAGATCAATTACCTTCAATCCGTGCTGTGCAGACTCAGATATCGCTTCATGGCAGAACCTTGTGTCCCTTGTATGTACCCAGATATACTCGTTCCTGCTGCCTACAGTACATGTACGACTATATAGTTGCAAATGCATGATGTTTTTGTCTCCACTTTCCCCTTAGTAGAATGTTGAATAGCTCGATGGCAGAGTGTGAAGGTAGGAGAGAAAGCTCGACTGCAATCTCTGCAAAATACACCCAAGTTTTGGACAGAACTGAAAGAAGAAAATCTTGCTGTTTCTCCTGAGGCTAGTACTGAGCCTGCATAGCTTTGCTTGGGGATGATGTCACCAAAACAAATGATGTCTTTTATTTTTCTTTCTAGATTAATGCAGCAGATTTCACTGATTGCGAGGAGGAAGCAGAAGATGATGATGTTTACGTGGTTATGTTAGGCTCAGAAACTCAACAAGCCATGAGTAAGTCATGTTGTTAGACAGCTTTATCCGTAACGAAGCATGTGCTGTACTGAGTGGGATTATGGAAAAACAGAGGGGGCAAATTATTTTACTATTTTCAATTTCCACGTTACCGCAACTTCCAGGGAGGGCAGGTGTCCTAGGAGAAGGGGGAAGGCAGGTGAGGGATTCAGTCGTGATAATAAAGTCATCGCTCAGTAAAACAGACCTCAGTGCAACTGCCCCTCCTAGTAAATTCTGGAAATTCATGATCTCTGCTCTGAATCTAGAAAATAGCTGAGTTCTCCAAGTTCTCAGAGAATAGCCCTCATATAAGGGGAGACAGTGCCTACAGGTGCAGCCAGCTCCTGTGTGGAGGCACAGACAGTAGATCTTCATACATCTAAGCATAGATTGACAAGACTGTTGATAATCTGTGTGGTCACATGCATTCCCCGTGAAAATGGCAAACGAAGTTGCTCATTTGCATTTACTGATGATATTTTGCATATGCTTTACAGTATCATGGATTTATACAGCTAAATTTTATCCTGTTTCTATCTGTATCCTATTTCTTTATCCTGTTTTATCTGTATGTTGACAATTTTATCTCTTCAACTGTCTCATATTCTTCATGAAAAGGATGTTTCTTATTTGCTAAGTTTAAACTTGTTGCTTTAGCCCATCTAGTTAGATGATAGACACTGTAAAAATGTGAGCTAGAAACCTGGTTAGCCCTGATACATTTTCACTGCCTCTTGTCACACTGTGTATGGGAACACCTCAGGGTGGACACATGGAAGGACACAGGTTGTCACAACTGACTGTTAGCCAGCTAAGCGCCCTAACCTCCCATTTGAATCAGTGGTGAAAGGAGGGCATCACCAAAGGATAATGGAAATGAAAGTAATTTCAGAATGGAAACCTAGCTCAAGGGTTCGGTATTACCTGCTATGTGTCGACTGTAAGTCTGCTGACAGACTTGTATGGATGCTCTGTTATGTTACTGAGGTTGACTACTCAAATCTTGATGCTGTACATAATGATTAATATGTTAGTGATTAATATATACTCTTTCACATCCCTCCACTATATTTTTGGTCCGTGGTCCACTTAAGACAGAAGAGCTCCATTTCCACAGGAGTACAGCCATGTCTGCCAGGGCCAGTGTTGATTTCATTTCAGAGAGATTTAAATAAGCACCCAAACCCCATCGTATAAAACCAAGTTGCACAGCTGTGTTAGCTACGGCTTTATTTTACTAAGTGTTGCACTGTGCTGCATTGAAAGTCAAGTAGTACAAATTACGGAGGCAAGGTAATTGTGTGTGATTTCAGTCTGACAGCAACTCTAGAAAATTTTAACATCGCTTGCATGAAGGTGGAATGTATCAGAGTAGCAAGAGATAATAAAAACTTCCACTGTTGATTTGGTAAATATTTAAAAAGCTGTTCACTGACAGTATGTATTTGACAGCTTTCCTACTGTATTAGTTCATAAAAGTTTTATTAGCTGTTGTGTTGCTTTTGCTGTGGGAATCCTTGAAACAGGAAATGTTTCCAGGTGACAAATTTTAAATGAAATAATGCATTCTTTAGCATTAAAAGCCAAGCAGAACCCAGGAGATCAATATGGAATTGGATCAAGATGCCAACAAGAAGCTGAGGTGGGTGAGGAAAAGGAAGATTATGTAGAAGACAGCAGAGAGGAGGCAGAATATGAAGATCAAGAAGAGCAAGATTCATACAGCTTTCACAGCAGTCCTGACGATTTGTACGCCAGCATACCTGATGATCTCGAAGAGAATGGAAGCAACCACTTTTTCTGTAAGGGGCCGCCCCCTCCTCCCCCTCGAAATCCACCTGACACCCTAAGACTGGACAATCTGCATGATTTATCTCAAGGTATGATCTTGGGAGGAGAATAACCCCGGATACAAACATGTGCAAGTGCAGACAAGGTGCTGCTGTAGAGATTAGGTGTGATCACTTCTTGTAACAGCAGTAGCTGGGCAGTATGGCCCTAATTCTGCAAAGCAAGCATGTGCCTATGAACTTTGCTGCATCAAGATGTTCACGACCAGCTAATACTGTGGTATGGGCTGCTGGGTTCAGCTTTCAGGTTTTCCTCACTCTGCCCATCTCGGAGAGCTGCCAAATAATGCATGATGCGTTGGATTTAAGAGAGGCTTGAAACAAACGATTGAGCTTGTATTTTTGTGAAGTCGACTTAAGTATTTATCATTTTGGAATATTAAATACTATCTTGATTCAGTACAGATTGGAATTTCACAAGTAGAATTAATAGAAAGTGACTGTGCGGAGAGAAGTGACACAGTATTTTATTACGTTTTAGCCAATGTTGTAGTTAGAAATAGAAATCTATATTGTGTTGCAGATTGAAGAGAGAGGGAGAAATTGTGACCTTTAATGAAATGCTTTGCTCTTTCTTTTTTTTTTTTTTAATACTTCTGCCTCAGAGTAAAAACCTAAAATTTAGTGTTGTGGTTTGAGTCAAGTGATGAGAAGCCCAAAATACTATTTGCATCTATTTCAGAAGGGATGATTATTATTTTTTCTCATTGGGAAAAAAAAAAAGTATGCAAAGGAATTCAAGCTTAAATACCAGTCTTAAATAGTCACATAGGAAAAAAAAAACCACCTCTTTATTTGTCATGGACACACTACTGATAAGCATGCATTCAAATTGCTTCTGAGTTTCTGCGCTACTTATTACAGTTAACTCTGTTTTTAAACGTGGCATAACCTATTAGATTCTTAAATTACCATCACCAAGAGCACTTTGATGTTCACGTCAGTAGATATAAATAGCTTTGTAGCCTTATAGCCTGCTATAGGTAGATTTTTGTCATCTTTTCTACTGTGAAAGAAAAAAAGCTGGATATATGCAAGTAGTCACAGGTGGATTCTGGGAAAAAGAGGGACAGAATAAAATTAATGTTAAAGATGTGTTTTGCCTCCCATGAAATACTCAGCTGCAGCTATATGCGTGCATAAATGAGGGGTCAGGTTTGGCATACAGGATTTGTTAGCGTAGGTATGATATAAATGCCTGTCTGGGAATAGCTCTCGTGGCTAAACCTCAGCCAGTACTGTGATCCTCTCTGCCAACTGCTTGTATGTGGGTACCAGCAGAGAAAGTTTCTCCGCTACGCGGTGCCCTGTGCTGAATCCTGTGCTGGTAAGGCACAGTTCACCTGAAAATGCTCCTGTGTGACTCGTTCATTTAAAACATGCTGTGAGTTTTCCTGAAGTGTTAGCCTGGATTTAGTTGTTGGAGAACCAAGTAGAGGTATCAGAGTTCCTTTAAATGAGGATGATGCTTGCTTTCAAAGAAGAGCTCTAATGAGTCATTGCTACATATTTTTAGGCAGCCAGTTGCTTTAGGTATTGCTGTGGAATACCTAAAAGGCAAGTCCCCTGCTGCTTGAAGTCTGTGTTTTCGCAGCGTCGTGAGAGTGCCCTTGTAGGAGTTAAAGAACATCCTACAGAGAAAGAAACAGAACTTTTCCAGTGACATGGAAACAAAATATTTTTTATATTAAATGTGGCAGGTGTGTGAACCCCACTTGTTTTAAAAGGTTTTTATATCTTAGCCAGACTACATGTTGATAGTACGTATTGGTAATACATCCCATTCACAAATGCCACATCCCATTTATAAATGTATCACACTTATGGAGATTGTTTAGCTCCTCTAAATAACCCATAAACAGATAAAACAATTCTTTAAATAGCAGCCAAAGAATTGAAGACACCAGTAGTGACCACAGCCTAGTTTAACAGGTACACATGTACAGGCAGTGGATTACAACATGAGGAAAACATGACTCAGTACAAGAATTCCAGGCAGGAATTTGCAGGAAAGATGGGTAATCAGCACAAGGAAGTTATAAACATTTATGGGAACACCAGCCTCAGTATCAGCTTCTAACTCTTAGCAATTTGTTGGGGTTTTTTTAAGACAAATCAAAACAAACTCAGCTATCAGGAAACTCATCGATTCCCTTTAATGCTGTAAAATGTAAAAACTAAAGGGAAGCAAGTTCTGAGTAATTGTCATAAATTTCATCTATGCTGTAAGGGGCTTTTTAAATTTTTTTCGTCTTGTCCTACAGTACCTCTTCGTAAAGCCCTCAAAACCAAGTGGGACACTGAAGATGCAGGAAAGACAAAACCCACCATTTTCTAAAATAAGTTTTTTCAATTCTTAAGTCGTTGTTGCAATAGCTAACGAACAGCCCAAATTTCCAGAATTCCAAGGTACCACTTACTTGGCTTCTTCATTAGAGAACATGTTTGTGTGACTCTTGTGGTAGCAACTGGAGCACTCAGAATTTCTTTTAAATAAGCCTATTTATTTTGGGGCTAAAGCTAAGCATCTATTTTTGATAATCTGATGTGTGATCATGAGGAGGCCCTGAAGTTGGAGTTATTCCTTTGGGACATCCTCTCTACTGACTAGGATGATCAGAAGCCTCTGAAAATCAGAGCACTTTAATTTAGAAGTGAAATAAGGTCTCTGAGTTACTTTAGGAAACTCTAAAGCTTAAAGTTAAGTCTTAATCTCCTTTCTTTACCCTACATATGGAACACAATTCCTTGATTTTTCAGAGAGGAATTTTGTTGATGACAGAAGTGAAAGAGAACATGGTGATGGATTCATAACAGCATGCTGCAAAGACCAAGATACATGCGAAGGAGATAGCAAGGAGGAGAACCCATACACTTTTGCCACCTTGGATGACTCTGTGTACGATTTCGTAATGGCTGAGGAGGAGGAGGAGAAACGGAAAGAACGCAGGTCTTTTATCCTGAACAGGCCGCCAGCCCCTGCGCCTCGTCCGATGTGTTCGCCGGTCGGAGAGGAGAACACTCCCTTTATAGCCCAAGGTTAGTGCTGCTGCTTTGTAAATATTTGCTGGTGGAATAAAGACGTGTCTCTTCTGTTTGGTGAATAGTATTTTTCTAAAAGACTAAGATCTTTGTTCAGTTACTTTCAAATCAACCAATTGGTTGATTCAGTCAACCTATCTCATTTTTCAAATGAGCTGCGAACATCTCTGACTAATGTTAATTTTCAATTTGCATCTCAAATAACATCACTTTTTTTGGTTTAATTTTACAAAAATTATGACAATATGACGTAAAATTAAAAATCACTGGGCTAGCTGTGAGTGTGTCTGTTTTAACAGTGCTATATACAGAATGTGCTATTTGAATCACCTTTCCTTTCAGTTTTTACTTAATTTTGAGAGATTTTAGCCATATCTCTTTTTTTTTCTGAGAACAGTAGGGAGAAATGCCTGTGTGAGAACTCCGCTTTCAAATATCCTTTCTCCAATGCAAGATGCTAGACATGTCCATCTGGGGAAGGATTATGTCCTTTTACTTTTTCTGTGAAAACTGGGGGACCTTTTTGAGTATATTCATGGAAATGTAAGACTGGAGGAGATTTCAGGTATCTTGTAGTCCAGTTTGGATTGAAGCCAAATTTCAAAATAACAAAAGGAATTGCTATGAACCTACTGCAGAGATCTCTGTGTAAGCTCCAAAATCCATACTGCCTGCGTTTCCAAACTCCTCTACAAAAACCCGCCAATGTGTAAGAATATGTGTAAGAATAAATGGTAGAAAACCAGACTGAGAAAGGACACCAGTAGATAGCTTACTCATTCCAGCGCATGTTTTGCACTGAAACAGGATTAATGCTACACAAATCATCCTACCAGATACTGAGGAGCACCTCCTTTTTCATGCCTATTTCTGTCAGTGATTTATTTTATTCTTCATAGCTAGCTCTCTTCCTCCAGGCTGTATACCTCCAGGTGAGGGCCCGAATGCGTGGGCTAATGTGTTCATTATTCAGTTGCTCTTTCTTCAGCATGTTCAGGAGGTGTAAGGGTGAATCATTACAGTAGTTAAAGTGTAATCTGAGAACAGAGATGTATAGGGATGCTGTTACAACTACAGAAGTCCTGAAATGGCTGCTTTTACTGAGATTGCTAGAGCACTGTCTCAAGTCTTAGTCCTCCATCATTACAGACAGGCCAGTGACTTGAAAACCCTGACTGTGAAGATGCATTTTTGGGGAGATTGCTTTTACTGTCTTTTATTGCACTAGAGTGTTTCTGCTTTATCTACCCTAACTGTTCACTAAGGAAGAGACTATCAGAGGAACTGAACTGCTTTGTTGGGACTGTGGTTCTTTTACACTATATATATGTATATATATGTACACACACCCCCAAGGTATTTTAGCTTTGCTTTTGTAAGCAGGTAGTGGTAGACAAATTAGTTTCCTGTTGTTCTGTGAAATCAACCTCTGGCTCAAGTTCCTTTCCTTATATAATAAATGAGAAAAGTTCCAGATCTGTGTTTTCTCACTTTCCTGTTTCGTACAGGGATTCCTGAGATAGAGAGTGAAATTTTAGACAAAAGTGATACATCTTCAGCTGAAAGATTTTTTTGCATTTTCAATTTTTGTCCTTCTCCATAGTGGTTAAAAAATTCTTCATCCAGTCCTGCTATATCCCAGTTTACAGTTTATTAAATTAAAACCTCTTATAATAAAAAAAAAAAAAAAAGATTGCTTCAGCTGTTAAGAACCAGAAAATTTCATTCCAGTCCATCATTAAAATCTGCATGTGTTTGCAGCCATTGCTTCATAATTTAATCTAATCAGTGTAAAATAAAATTACTCTGGCTAGTGCATATATGCATTTTTCATCCTTCAAATAAATTGATGATAGTTTCAGGTTTTGTTTTCATATAATACATTAAAAAGAGCATTGCAGAAGTTGCAAAGTCAAATAATCCAAAAGTTAGAACTGATGTAGTTTTGCTGTTGTATTTCTTTCTCCCTGCCACAAACATTACAATTCAGCCCTTAAGTATATAGCCGTGTGCTGCTGTTTATCACAGATATTTTGTTTCATCTAGTGTTTAAAGCGGATGAGTGTAAGATGCAAAATTCTTCAGTGTTTTTCATTCTCATTTTTGTTAAAATATCATTTGAATCTGCCCTACATCCAACATGTTGTTTCAGACCCTCCTGTGATAAACTCTTTCATTTGTTCTATATCCATTGAGTTTTTGGGTGCCCAATATGAAGTAACTAAGATGCCATTCTGGAGATTAAAAGCATTTTATAATACTTCGCTCATTCAAAGCAGAGATCCTGTTGATTTCAGTGGCCACCACTGAGTGCTCAGAACTTCAAATTAAGTCATTGGTGTGTCTAGTCAGCACCTTAATGTCAGGGATTCATGAGCTCGATTGCTGGCTTAAATGACTTGTCTGGGGTTACGCTGGGGCTTTGTTGGAGAGGGAAGTTCTCTCTTTAGAACAATTTTTAGTTACTTACCTGAGATATCCTTCCCTCCTCTACATTCTTGCTCCGTTCACTAAATACCTTTTAACTTCTAAATCAAATTAAGTAATATTCCTGCAAGAAACAGGTTACGTTCACTGCACAGTTCTAGCTGATCTTCACAACCGTTACCTTCTGGTGTTCAGTAAGACACAAGTCCTGTGGAAAAGTGGGATTAGAGAATGGAGCATGATGCACAGAGCAAGGCTATATTAAGGCTACACAGTCACCCACAACTGGATCCCAGTGTACTTTGAGAGTTCATGGAAGGAACAAGCTTCACGCTCCAAGGATTGCAGGGGCTGTTGTGATGGTGCCATGCAGAGATGCAAGAGGAGGATTTCCTTCTGCCCTTTATGTACCCACAGAGGTGATGTAAAATTACGGTGTCGTTTGTTGGCAAAAAACAGAGTAAGTGTTGCCTAGCAGAAATGCCTTTTTCCCCTTGGAATGCATGCTGGGGCCCCCGTTTTAATTATTTTTTTTTTAATCTATCAGGACAAATTAAGTGGCTGAAGTCCCATGAGGGCTTTCACCACATGTTGAAGTCCGTGAAGTTACAAAAGAGTGTCTCCTATAAGCAAAAGTGGTGGTGTTTCCATGAGAATAGCAGCAAAGAAAGTGAGCAAATAGTCCTCTTTGTAATAAGGAGCTGTTGAATACGTGGAAGCACAAGTTTACACTAGGCAGAAAGCCTGCTCAGTGTAGATTACCACTTGGTGATCTATGGAATAGGAACTGTTGATCTATAGAAAACAAACATGGGACTTCATGTCCTGGTTTCAGCTGGGACAGAGTTAGTTCTTGTTTCTAACAGCCAGAAGAGCTCCGTGTTTTGGTTTTAGTCTGAGACTTGCTCTGAGGAGTATGTTGACAGCACACTGATGTTTGTAGTTGGCACTGAGGTCTCAAGGACTTTTCAGCTGCCATGTTCTTGCCAGTGTGCAGGAGCACAACAGGCTGGGGGGGAGCATAGTCGGAACTGTTCACGACTCTCGTTATGATTTGTACTTAGGATTAACGGCCAAATTGGCCAATGAAGTATTTCATATCATGCAATATCATGCCCAGTATAAAAGTGAGGGAAAGAAGGGCTTTTGCTTTTCCAGAGGCTCTCACTCTCAGACTCTTGGAGTACTATCTCTGTCTTGCTCTCTTTTGGGGCCCCTCACTCGTCTGGGATTGCGGTGTCAGGAGTTACTTGTTTCAGGGTTGTTAGTCTGGGCTGGGCCGGGCATCGGTCACTGGGTGGTGAGCAATTACACTGTGCATCACTTGTTTGTATATATTATTACCATTGTACATATATGTTTATATTCATATATTAGTAGCAGTAGTATTAAATTGTTCTTATCTCAAACCACTGGTCTCTTTCCCTTTTCCCCTTTAATTCCCTTCCTCATCCCTGGGGGTGGGGGAGGGTAAGCGAGTGGCTGTGTGTGGAGTTTAGTTGCCGGCCAGTCTAAACCATGACGCTTCACAAGCTGGTTTTTAGAGTCTCTTTCAGAGCAGGTCCTACACTTGGAAACCAAGGCAGTAGGCACTCAATGATGCAAGTTGTCGTAACCGAGCTACCGCAATGTACAGTTTGAGCAACTGCCCTGAATTTGCTGACAAATAAATTCTAGGAAACATGAGTGAGTTGAACAATTTAAAACATGTGTTCTCATAATTTCTACTCAATTTCATTTATTCTATTTTCGAATTTTAATGAACGTGCAAACTGCTGTATTGAACACTGCTAAGCATATGGCATCTTTAACAGAGAGTATATTTGTTCTTTAATTTAGACCACTGCAAGAATTCTGCCTTCCATGTGAAAGGCTCATCAAGCAACGGAGCTGCAAACTGGTGCCAAATGGCTTGTTGTCCAGATGGTGTGCACTCTTAGTGTGCTCCCTTTCCATTCCTCAAGTGCACAGTATTCCTTTGTAGGTTATTTTTTTCAATTGTGTGCTGCCAAAACAGCTGTTAAATGAATGTATGAAGGTGGCGTGTTTTCAGTTTACAGTACAGTTTTAATGCTTCCTATGCCTTTGTTCCTTTGCAAACTTCTCACAAATCCCTGAAGGAATGCATTTCCCCTCTGTGCACTGGAAGCATTTTAGTATTTAAAGATAGCTGTCCGTGGGACTTCACACTAGGGTTAAAGGAAGTGGGAAAATATGTTTCCCAGTTTCTATCCCAGAAGAGAATAGCATTCTCATTGCTTATCAAAATCACAGGGCATGCAGAAAAAGTAGGAGCTAGTGGATATTTTTAGGGAGGTAGAATATCTCATTTACAGAACACACAACATAAACCCAAATGAAATGGAAAAACAAAATCCAGAACAGAACTGTTAGTGTCTTGCAAACTTATCAGGCTGATTACTGGGAACTATAGTGATTGCGTCCTGATTTAGTAATTCTTACTATGCAGAATGTTTAAATGCTCTAAAGCAGGGGTTTCTGAAGCAAAGCCTGGGAGCCCATGCAAACTGCAAAACATTTATGTCCCACAGAGGGATTTTGTAGTACTT